TTCACATGTTAAACTAGTGAAGACAGTTTGACACAATTTCTTAAAGCTTTCCATCATAAGGGTTTGAACCTTTGACCACGTGGACCAACTTCAGCTCTGAACTCTAACCACCTAACTACTGATCTACCTGCTCAACTCAAGTGAAGGAGACATCATAAAGAATTAAAGAGGTCCTAATTGTTAAACATGTCAAAAACAATCAGAGATAGAGGTTTTATAATTCACTGATAAACCATGTGTTTAAAAGTTGAATACAAGCAAGCATGTCCTTGAAGTCCTGAGCATTGTTGCATTTAAATGATTTCTGTGGCTGAAAGCAAGCAGGAGAAGCAGTTGACTGAAAAACCTACAGAACTAGAATAAAACAATAGTGTGAATCTGTCATGCTGACGCATTCTATGAAGCAAAGTAACGACTGAATATAATACACAATAATATTATTAGTCTTTACTTTAAAAAGATTCAGTGATTAGGACATGAGCAAGTTTAATGGTAAAATATATTCATGGTGTGAAAATATATCAGATGTATTGACTTCCAGTTATGTGCTATTGATTTATAACCTTGCCATCTATATTCTTTGAATTAAAATTGAGGTCTGCAACAGTGAGGCCAAATTGTTTTGGATTATGGGCACAAGTTTATATTCATAACTCACAAATGAATTAGTCAGTGACTCATTAAAAGCCAGACAAAGTTTATGACATAAATGAAATAAAAGTTTTATTGTTCACGTAGCAAGTTGACACCAAAGTTCATATCAAGAGACTAAAATGTTTCCCTGAAACCTCTTCAAATAATATTTTGGAATATTAAAGTGTTCTATGAAAGTGAAGTAATTTCGGGCTGTGTGACAATGATTCAAACCACTGATACCCTCAAAACATATAAAAACATGTAAAAACAAAACACAGACTGCAGCTGAGAATCGTTCTTATGATCGGTCTTCAGTCTGTGTCGGAGGTTGGCAGGGGTTGGTATTTAGCTTTGGACCTCCTCGATCGGTAGATCACCACTCCAAATGCCACGAGGCAGCCAACAATGAAGACGATGTTCATGCCCAGATTGAGGCTCAGGCCAGACGCTGAAATGGAAAAACAGACTAAAATTCAGGTACAATAACATTAATTTAATTATACTATAGATTTTTATGTTCTGCTGATCAGTGTGTCCAATTAAAACTTAATGAGATTTAAAGGTTTTATATGTATATATGAGATTTGAAACAATCCATTTGCAGCTGAGTAGAGTGACTGTAACTGCGGTTTCGGTGTGTTTTATTGGTTTCTGTTCAGTTGAAGTGTGTTTCACAATTACTGGTTACTGTAGCACTGCACACTCACCTTCGCTGTCAGAAGTTTTAGCCAGGTGCAAAGGTCCCTGGGAAATGGAGTGACTGGAGCTCTGGGCCATAGCCTCTCTTTTGCTGCGATGGTTCCCTGATCTGATGCATCCCTGAGAGCACCTGGTTCCAGCAACGCCAGTCTCACACAGCATGACTGAGCAAGTGATGTACACCTGGAGACACATGGAGGTAAAGTCAGACAAAGCTGTTTTTCCTTTGTTTTTCAGGTAGTGAAAGGTGCTGAAGAATTGACATATTTGTGTGTGACCTTACCTCCTCATGAGCACCGATGAACTCAAAAGCCTCCATTCCAAACCTGAATTGAGACTTGGAGCTGGGGTAGATCTGCACCGTGTTGTCCCTCGCGCACCTATGACATGATGCAGTTAAAAATTATAACACAGCATTTCACATAATTATCAACTAGCACAGAAAAGCCTTTTTATTGCGTACCCCTACCCATTTTCGATGATAGTGTAGCTGATGCGAGAGTTCGGGTTGTCATAGGGAGTTGCCTTACAGGACTCCACAAACAGCTCGGTGTTGGGGATGGAGGTGGTGGCCTCGATCTGCATGAACATCATCTGTTTGAGGTACACCTCCACTGGGTAAGTGCTGCTATCAACTTGTTTTCTGAACCGCTCGGTCTCGAAGAATTCAAACTGGAAGGTGAAAGCACCGAAGCCCTTCTCTGTGAAGGCGTATGGGTTTTTGTGCCTGAATCCCAGGGTCAGGTTGGTTCGCTTGGGATAGACGCAGGAAAACCCAATCTCGACGTCATGTTGCCTGGAGATGATTTCATTGGGGTCAGCAGATGTGATCTCGTTCTTGAAGATGATGTTGTCTTCATCCTCCTGAAAATGAAAAATAATAATAAATTATAAAATAAATTTGGAAAGAATGAAATTGTACTTGCTTATCAAAATTATATACACTACAAGTATACTACAAGTCAAAAGTGAAATAATGACATGTGAAATTCAGACGGTTTTGGTAGATTAAAAAACCCATTAATGAGTTGAACAGAATTAGAAATGAGTACTGGAAGTAGCAGTTATTAGTGATTGTGGACAGACTGCTTTCTAACATCGCCTGACAACAGCAGCCTGTGATGGCAGCTCCTATCATTGTTGTAGTTTCAGTGTGTTTTTTGCTATTTTTAACTGTTTTCTTACTGTCTGACTTTGTTCACGTCGCCTAAATACTTTTTTGGCGTTTTTGAGCACTTTTTATTTTTTGTTTGCACGGGTCTCCATGGCGACGGCGAGTCGCATTGTTTACACCCGCGACCAGATGATCGCCCTGAGGACCCCTAGCATCCTGACCGGAGAGAGAGCCTCCATACCGGAGGAGCTGAGGAGACGGTGAGGCTGCAGAGCGGGGGTTAAACGGAGGATGAAGAAGAGGAGGTTTAAACCCTACAAACGTGGCTACACGAGCAGATACCGGACTCCATCGTCACCATTCCCGGCTTCCAGACGGTTCGAGCCGACAGGGACACCACCGGGACCGGCATGAAGAAAGGAGGGGGACTGTCCGTGCTCATCAACAACAGGTGGTGTAACGCCGGGCACGACTGAGTGAAAGAGCGTCTGCAGCCCGGACATCGAACTGTCACCGTCGGACTTCGTCCGTGTTGTGCTGTCTATGTTCCTCACAGTGGTCTTCATCATCATCATCACTGTCTATATTCCTCACAGTGATCTTCATCATCACCATCACTGTTTACATTTATGATGTCCTATTTATTCTCCTGTACAGCACTTTGGTCAACTTTGGTTGTTTTTAAAGTGCTTAACAAATAAAGTTGGATTGGATCCAAAGCAATTTAAAATCCATTTTTATATGTTAAAACCAAAAGTAGCCAGTTCAACGTGGTGCTCATAGCTTGGCTAGGTTTCGAAGGTACAGATACGAGAAGGCTGGAGCTGACAGTGACCGTTGTGGTACTTTGGTGTCAGTCAGTGCCTGAATCGGACCAAACAACTGTCCAATAACCTCAACCACAATATAACCCTACACCTAATTCTTTTCACGATTTTATCTATTTTTAAGGACATTTTCATTTTTAGCTTGAACCAGTTTTGTTCAAGAGTCTTGGAGACACTGGTGCTGTCGAGTGAACCAGCCTGTGTTTCCACCAATTTTGAGCAGAACCATTAATATCGAATGAACAGAGCACAATGCACAACAACCTGTAGAATATGATTTCAGAATAGGCCTAACAAGATGCAGTTTTCCCACCTGTATCCCCTAACATTTCCTCACACTTAAACCTAACCAACCAAACAAGGAAGGCAATAAACACGAGCCAATCAGACAACTGAGGAAATATACTGAGAACAAGGAACCATCACATTGTACACTTCTGCAGTTTACATGTTTACCTCTACAAGAGTTCCACATTCGTTAAGTGACATGACCGCCACCAGGTGGGTTTCATTGGAGCGTGTTGTCAGGTTGCAGGAAGAACCCTTGATGTTGTTCAGATGCAAGTTGTCCTCATTGCGTCTGATGAGGTAGGACTTTTCCACTTCCACCTTTATTGTTGTTTCATTGCATGTCACAATGGTCTCTAGATATAGCATGAGATATGTTTATTTCATTATGATGATGCAGTCAGGGAAGACTTGACATCTATCCACATAATCTAAAAGTTATTCAACAAATTCATTGTTACAATATATATATATATATATATATAAGATGATATCTGTAATAGTTAAAATGTAGTCAACTAACCATGGTGATCAACATCAACAATCACACAGCGTAGCTCTGATTGATAGACTCGGTTATACCTGGAATGTAAAATAAGATTGGAGAGAATAAATTATATGATCCTTATTTTCCAGGAATTTCTGAAGAAGAAATGTAATTGAAATGTATGTTTAAGGTGTTTAAGTATAGTTTTCTCATTCAGTGATTTATTTAAAACTTACGTGTCTCTTGCCTCAGAAATGAAGCAAATTGAAAAATGATCATTTGCTTCATTTTCAGTTGGTGTCCATTTTATGGTATATTCTCCTGTGGAGATTTTCTGCTTTGAAATGCCACGTGGTCCAGTGACAATCAGGTCATAAATCCTACAAGAGAAACAATGTTTTTATGTTACTCCTGAACGGTAGTAAGTTACATTAAATGTAAGGAATATGTTTTGGAAATGTTTGTGATAAACTAATCTTTGATAAGTGGCTCTGAAGAAAGTGAAGTTAAAGTAAGTAAGTCATTATTGCAAAATAAGAACCGGCAGGATTTAAACCTTTTTAAAAATTAGTGCACATTACAATAACTCATAAAACACATTGCTGCAAAATTATACAATTAATTTAGCACAATTTCCTTACGTGGTGTATTGTGCTTTGGATCTGACATTGATTTCGAGAGTTTGGTTGACAAATGCAGGAAGATTTACTCCATTTCTTGGAGTTGGTGACAAGAAAATGGGAAAGTAATCACCATCAAGGCATGAAGGGGCGTTAAATGAGTCCACTGAAAATCAAATGAGAGGAGAGACAGACTTTGAGAATGTGATAAAATGTAAATATGAAAATCAGTGTTGTCAATATTCCATAAACAAAACATTACCGTACCATAAATAGAGAACTGCAGGGGAAGTTTGCTCAAAGGAGCAATCGATGTTCGGTACGAAGAGGTGGTTGTTGGAAAGGGGGTGGTTGTTGGAATGGTGGTTGTTGGAAATGGGGTGGTTGTTGGAATGGTGGTTGTTGGAAATGGGGTGGTTGTTGGAATGGTGGTTGTTGGAAATGGGGTGGTTGTTGGAATGGTGGTTGTTGGAAATGGGGTGGTTGTTGCAGCTGTGGTGGTTGTTGGAAAGGGGGTGGTTGTTGCAGCTGTGGTGGTTGTTGGAAAGGGGGTGGTTGTTGCAGCTGTGGTGGTTGTTGGAAATGGGGTGGTTGTTGCAGTTGTGGTTGTTGTTGGAAATGGGGTGGTTGTTGCAGCTGTGGTTGTTGTTGGAAATGGGGTAGTTGTTGCAGCTGTGGTGGTTGTTGGAAATGGGGTGGTTGTTGCAGTTGTGGTTGTTGTTGGAAATGGGGTGGTTGTTGCAGCTGTGGTGGTTGTTGGAAATGGGGTGGTTGTTGCAGCTGTGGTGGTTGTTGGAAAGGGGGTGGTTGTTGCAGCTGTGGTTGTTGCAGCTGTGGTTGTTGTTGGAAATGGGGTAGTTGTTGCAGCTGTGGTTGTTGTTGGAAATGGGGTAGTTGTTGCAGCTGTGGTGGTTGTTGGAAATGGGGTGGTTGTTGCAGCTGTAGTGGTTGTTGCAGCTGTGGTAGTTGTTGGAAATGGGGTGGTTGTTGCAGCTGTGGTTGTTGTTGGAAATGGGGTAGTTGTTGCAGCTGTAGTGGTTGTTGCAGCTGTGGTAGTTGTTGGAAATGGGGTGGTTGTTGCAGCTGTGGTTGTTGTTGGAAATGGGGTAGTTGTTGCAGCTGTAGTGGTTGTTGCAGCTGTGGTAGTTGTTGGAAATGGGGTGGTTGTTGCAGCTGTGGTTGTTGTTGGAAATGGGGTAGTTGTTGCAGCTGTGGTTGTTGTTGGAAATGGGGTAGTTGTTGCAGCTGTGGGGGCAACTTGGCGTTTACGCCTTCCCACTGAAAGGGGGCTCTTTGTTGTGTAGGATCCGTCAGAGTAGGACAGCGTGATGTGTTTGTTGGGAAAGTCCTCCACCACAAGCTCAAATGGATGGTATCCAGCACTACTGTATGTATACTGTAGGGAGCAGGAATTCTGACAAAAAGGAGAGATACTTTAATTGTACAATATGAATTACAATGGCTGCAACAGTTCATGAGTTGAATAATAAAAACATTGGTTTTGTCCCCTTTCTATCAGTGTTCTCTAAAACTTTAAATCAAAGTTACTTGGTGTATAATTAGGATTCAAATTTGATAATGTACACGTTTTATGTGGGAAATTATCTTCATCTGGTAAATTTCAAATTTAAAGTCAGAGGACCAGTATATAATATTTAGTGCCATCTAGTGGTGAAGTTGTAGATTGAAACCAATGCAGGTAACCTTCCAAGTGTTCTAGAAAACTAGAAACTACAGTGACCTGTGAAACTCACAGAAAGCTCGAAAGGCCCTATCTAGAGTCAGTGTTGGGTTTGTTCAACATGGCAGACTCTGTACAAGAAGACCTGCCCCCTTTGTAGATAAAAATGGCTAATTTTAAGGGAACGAAAACACAACCATTCTTATTTTCAGGTTATTATACAGTAATGAAAACATACCTATGTTAATTATATTCAGTATCTGCCAATTGATCCTCCTTAATGTTACACACTGGACCTCTAAGGGTCTAATAATTTGATATAGCTCAGATTACAACTAAAGACATCCACTGACACACTCCTTACCTGATCTAAAGAGAAACCTCCAGTGAGACCACAGATCCCACACTCATATGAACTAGAGCTCGATGCTGGCCTGCATCTGACGCGGTCACCATCAGGGTCAAATACGGTCATATTGAATGATCGTGGACAGTTCCTGGGTACTCTGTAACATGTTAATCAACTAAATCAGCAACAGTCTGTCTAAAAGATATCTGCATCTGGTACAATACAACTTTATGAAGTTAAGAAAGCTGCAGTTTAATCATTTAAAGTACAACTGTATTGGTAATGAAAGACTTTCTCAAAACATTTATTCCTTAAAGGCATCTTAAAACACCTCCCAGAGCAGCAGCAGTTTAAACAAGACATGTGGTATCTTTCAGAAAACATTGGGCTTTGTGTTCAGTTATGACGGTGTACAAATCCCCCCCCCTCCCCCGGGTCTGATGTTTTACTGATTTCACTGTTGATTACTCTTTTTGCCATGCTAGCAAATATGGCTCTAAGGACAGTCCACCACTACTACAGACTGAAATATCTAAAATGTTTAGAGATGACTGACTCCGGTGATATTTGGTACATTTTCATCTAGAGCCACCATGAGTAGATATTTTGGGGTTTTAGTGAAATATCTCAACTATTAGATGGATCGCCATGAAATCTGAGCTTTTCCTCTGGCGCCACCAGCAGGTTGACAGTGAAACGTCTCCTCAGCCATGAGATGGATTGTCATTAAATTTTCTCACGATTTATCCCCTATTGTCCTACTTTATGTCATTTGTTCAAGAACTAACCTGTGTATGTACTTTGGTTTGTTTACTTATTTTTCACATCTTATCTATCTTTCTGTGTTTTGTGCTAGTCCATCTCATCAATACACTGTATGCACTGACTGTAGACTAAAGGTATAGACGTTGAATCCATTTTTGATCAACCATAAAGAACAAAAGAGGGAATGAGGGTCATTACCTGATTATAGGCAGTGTGGTAGTGATGGGAGATCTGTTAGATTCACCAGTATCAGAGCGGGTTCCCAGGTCCACATGTGCCATCATTCTCCAGTGAGCCATTGAGCTTCTGCTGTTTGCTGTCCAGAAGCCCTGACCATAGTAACTACTTCTATGAGTTGGGTATCTGTTTGAAAATAGATAATAAGGAGAATGCAGCAATATTTTCAACATTATCTATTAAATGGCACAGTTCACAACCAGATGTGAGTGTTGACTTACAAAATGTAAACTGAGGCTAAAAAAATCTTAGCAATATCTCTACCTAATCTCAAAGGGTAGGTTGCTGTAGAGTTTCCTTTTTGTCAACAGATCATATTGGCACCAGGTGAGACCATAGGAATTTGCGGCAATCTTAGTGGAGATAGCCTGTGTCTGGGATCCACAATTACCAGAGGAACACTGGTAGTAGTTCACATTGCACCAGTATGTGGCTTGCTTGTTGCGAAGTTCCACCTGCAAAGAATAATGCAAAGATTATCTCTGCAGCAACTGACAACCACAGTTTGTTCAATTTTCGAATTAACAAGTATTAGTCGACCCTGCTAGAAATACAAATATGAATGACTTTATTTCAAAATGATGTAAAAATGTACTATTTCAGAGGTTTAAAAATACTTCTTATGCCACAGAATGTTAGACTAATTCTTCTTTTTTTTAGGTTATTTGTATTTTAATTTTAAGGATGCAGCAGTTTTTCTTTGACAATGGAAATAAATTATGAATAAGGATTCCTTCTAATGAGAGTTTAACTGACCTCATAAGTCCCGTCTGAGTTCTGCCCTTTTGGGGTGAAGGTCAGCGATCCGCCGTAGTACCTATACCTGTAGGAGTAGTAGGACCATGCAGAAGCAGCTGAGACCAGAAGCAGCAGATGCAGCAGCAGCACTGTGATAGCAGCCATCCTCCCGAGTACCACTTCATCACCAAGATCTGCATCTTATATATTCTGCTACAAGGAAATGAAGACAAAGCCTTGTTTATCATCTACATCATTTACTGACAGTATGAACTATTAAGTAGAACTAGTTTTACCAGTCTGTGTTTTAGAGGTAATCGGAATTCAGATTCTGTATGTGATTTTACGGTCTTGTCTATTGTTCTTGGGACATTTTTTTAAAGGTAGGTGAAGCTTTGTTTTCAGATGCGCTGCTGACATTTTGGACTGAAAGTGCAACGTCGCAGAGATCAAATCCTCTGCATCGCTCAGTTCACCATTGAAGAGTAACTCACTGTCGTGTGCAGAGGTACAAAAACTTTTTACCCTGATGAAACTGCATCAAACATTGCACTGTTATATTGGACAATGTGAACTGCATTTAAAGGGTCCAGTGTGTCACATTTAGGAGGATCTATTGTCAAAAATGGTAGATAATATTCATCGATGTGTTTTTATTAGTGATCACCTCAAAGAATAAGAATTGTTATATAAATGATACACAATAAAGATAAAATAAAATGCTCTACTGAAATAAATAATCACTACAATAAATAAGATAAAAATACAGGTATTTTAGAGGTAAAATAAAATATAAAATAACAATAAAAACATAACAGCTGCAGCTGTGGTTGTTGTTGGTGGTGCAACTGTGGTTGTTGTTGGTGCAGCTGTGGTTGTCGGTGGTGCAGCTGTGGTTGTTGTTGTTGGTGCAGCTGTGGTTGTTGTTGGTGCAGCTGTGGTTGTTGTTGGTGCAGCTGTGGTTGTCGGTGGTGCAGCTGTGGTTGTTGTTGTCGGTGCAGCAGTGGTTGTCGGTGGTGCAGCTGTGGTTGTTGTTGTCGGTGCAGCAGTGGTTGTCGGTGGTGCAGCTGTGGTTGTCGTTGTTGGTGCAGCTGTGGTTGTCGGTGGTGCAGCTGTGGTTGTTGTTGTTGGTGCAGCTGTGGTTGTTGTTGGTGCAGCTGTGGTTGTCGTTGTTGTTGGTGCAGCTGTGGTTGTCGGTGGTGCAGCTGTGGTTATTGTTGGTGCAGCTGTGGTTGTCGTTGCTGTTGGTGCAGCTGTGGTTGTTCTTGTTGGTGCAGCTGTGGTTGTTGTTGTTGGTGCAGCTGTGGTTGTTGTTGGTGCAGCTGTGGTTGTTGTTGGTGCAACTGTGGTTGTTGCTGTTGGTGCAGCTGTGGTTGTTCTTGTTGGTGCAGCTGTGGTTGTTGTTGTTGGTGCAGCTGTGGTTGTTGTTGGTGCAACTGTGGTTGTTGTTGTTGGTGCAGCTGTGGTTGTCGGTGGTGCAGCTGTGGTTGTTGTTGTTGGTGCAGCTGTGGTTGTTGTTGGTGCAACTGTGGGTGTTGTTGTTGGTGCAGCTGTGGTTGTCGGTGGTGCAGCTGTGGTTGTTGTTGGTGCAGCTGTGGTTGTCATTGTTGTTGGTGCAACTGTGGTTGTTGTTGTTGGTGCAGCTGTGGTTGTCGGTGGTGCAGCTATGGTTGTTGTTAGTGCAGCTGTGGTTGTCGTTGTTGTTGGTGCAGCAGTGGTTGTTAGAGATGTGGTTGTTGTAGCTGCTGAGGTAGATGCAGCTGTTGTTGCAGCTGTAGAAAGAGTTGTGATTAATGCAGCTGTGTTTGTTGGTGTTGTGGTAGTTGTTGGTGAAGTTATGTCTGTTGCTTCTGTGGTTGTTGCTGTTTCAGTTGTTGGTGCAACTGTAGTTGTTGGTGTTGTGGTTGTTACGTCAGTAGTTGTTGTCATAGTTGGTATTTAAGGTCAATGAGGGTGGAGTTGTGTTAGTAGCTATGTCACGTCAGTGCCTTGCACCTATCAAGGGTTTTTTGAGTGTGTAGGATCCATCCGAGTAGGAGACAGTAATTTGTTTTGTGGGGAAATCCTCCACTGTGAGCTCAAATGAATAAGTTCCAGTTCTACGAGTGTACATATAAGACAGGGTGCAGGAATTCTGGTAGAATAAGATAGAATAAAGACCATTATTTTGGACACACGTGATGTAATGGTAACGAAACTTCCATCATGTCTCTCTATTTCATCTTGCAATAATAATCTCAGAGTCAGTAGTGAAATGTAACTAAAGACAGTTACTCAAGTACAATTTTTTTTTTTAATGCCACTTTAATACAAGTGGGAAATATTGTATTCTTTTACCTCATTTATTCATTTATTTGACAGGTTTAGTTTCTACTTATATTATAGTTCTAGTTGATATTTTGTAATAAACAAGCCAAAAGTATATAAAAGTATAGCTGAAACGATTAGCTAATTATAAAATAGTATAATAGTGACAGGGGACATTTTCTGCATTGAGTTCTTTTACTTTGAATACTAATATTAAGTAATTTTTCTCTGACTATACTTGCATACTGTAGTCACACTTTCAATGCAAGACTTTTAATTGTAAGTGTGTGAATGTTTTCGGCTACAGTCAGTTGGAATAGCCTGCAAAATTTGTTTTAATTGAGTATGGTAATTGTATATTTCTGGGCGAACTCAAGACTATTTTAAATTCTAGGGTAAATGACTCCTTTGCTATTGATCGTTTGTTCAGGTCTCCCCTTTAAAAGAGGTTTCCAGACTTAAATAAATTCAAACATTTTAGTCCAGTTGTTTTTTTGTTTTGTTTTGTTTTGTCTTGGAGCTCATCCACAGTGCCGGACTATTATGTTTCAGTAACACTGTGAGTGAGTGTATTTTCTGTTTGTAGCCGAGTTGTTTAGACCGACTGATCAAAAGCCTTTCTGATGACATACATAATACTCACCTGTACCATTAGAGGGCAGTTGTGATTTCACATTTCATGAGAAATTTATTTATTTAAGCAGTGTGTATGTTAACGTTATGCTGACAAAGCTTTACCACTCTCAGATCATGTGACACTTTCCTGTTGTTTCTTCTCAATGCCTATAAATATAAGATTTCTTAAATATTTTTCTAAAACGATTTTAAGCGAGAAATAGTCAACGCAGTAACAGAACCTAACTTAGTATTTGATCAGCTGCGCTGGAAACTTGAGAGTGACTTGTAAATCAAACGGTAGCCCCGCCCAAAAGCACACGCTGCTTTATCATCTATTTTAAATTAAATTAGACCATAATTTACCAAATTAATCATAATGTATTGAAAAAAATGTTAAACTAGCGACTGAGACCATAAACTCATCAGGAAACTGTTTACTGAGCTCATAATTGAAGTGTTGAGTTGGCTAATTTCTCCATTAAAGTGAATGGGATCGCTGTGTTATTGCAGCCAACAGTGCTGCCACCTGCTGGAATTGACATAGAAGGCAGGTTTAAGACACTTGCAGGTTAGCTTCACTTTTCAGATCCGGAAGCTCTGTCCATTATATATACAGTCAATGGTCTCAGACAGACGTATGTGTCACCCTTTAGTGTCTTTATGAGACGCACCTGGCTGCCACAAAGCTTATCTTCCAGAAAGCTAATTGGTCTTGGATTAAAATATCTCTGTTAGGTAATTCACATGATGTAAGTGCGCATGCAAGACACTCATGTAACACGTTACTTATGTAACTCAAAACTTTAATTAACTCAGCAGTCACTTTTTCTTTCAAATGGGACACAAACCCCAGTCTTCTGGGTGAAAGTGGTGTGTTTGTTTAAATTTTATTAGCCACACCAAATCAGTAACACAATGTGGATACTATCATCAGTCACCCACTCTAACTCTGCATCTGGATAAAGGTTTACATCCCTCCATTTGCTTCCTGTAAAATAAAAAAAATCAAAATCAAAATCAACTACAAGATCCAGCTGATTCCATATAATGCCCCACTTCAGATCTCCTTGTTCCTCCTTCCACTCCTCGACCACTCCTCTCCTCAAATTTCAGTCTTTTATCCATTCCCTGCTCTAGCTGTAAAATTATAGGTGACCTTTGCTGTTTTAGCCCTTACACTGTGGAATCATCTTTCCCTATCACTCCAATTTGGTGCATCTTTGGACTGTTTTAGGCGGCTCCTCAAAACCAACCTCTATTAGCCTTTTTATACATCTCCTTTCCTGTGTTTGTTTACTTATTTTTGTTGTCTCTCTCTTATTTATAATTATTTATTCATCCATATTTTAGTATGTAGTTATTTTATTTTATGGATGTATATTATATATTTATTTGTTTGTTTGTGAAGCAATTAGTAACTGTGTGTTTTAAAAAATATGCTATATAAATAAAGCTTTGGGGTGAAGGTCACTGATCCACCATAATAACGGTAACTAAAATGCCATGCAGACCCACTTGAGACCAGAACCAGCAGTTGCAGTGACAGGATGGGAGAGGTCATGGTCCTTTCAGTGCTGCCTCCTCCTATCTGCTCCACATTGATAAGCAATGGCTATTATAAACTGTATGACAAGGAAATAAAGTCTGGAGAGTAGAATTACTGCAAGGCTATCACAAGCCAAGGAAAAGACAAGCATTAACCTGTTAGATAACATTACTTGCAAACAGGACATGAAGAGGGTCCTGTTTGACCAGTCAACGTGCAGGAAGGCTGAGCATCTGTGGATATTCATTTATTGTAAGGAGGAAAAATACCCACAGATTGATCCACGCAGTGACAGGTGAAAGAGATCTTTTAGTTATGTGGCTTCTCATAACACAGTATTACATTACTACACTGTCAGGGTAAAGTGGAGAGGAAGAGGTAGAAGTATCAACATCATTCATCAAATGAATGGCATTATTATATCTAAAACACGAAGGAAATGTATTAAATTCTTGTTCCAATGCTAAAACAAACTTTTCTAATGCAGGCTGAGAGTGAAGGCTCTGTGAACATAGCTAATGTTTAGATCTTCAGAGTCTAGATTTGAAGATTCTTAGTTCTTTAATAATGATCTAAACTTTTGAAATAAGATTTCATTTAGTTTTTAGAATTTAGAAATGACAACAAATGCATGAAATTAAGCTTTGGTGACCCCTAGTAAGGGGTCCCGACCCTTAGGTCAGGAACCACCGCGCTAGTACTTCATCCAAGTTGCTCGTTT